GGCTCGGCCACGGGCCACCCTCTGTCTCCTCTCACCTTGGGGTGGATTTCACAATGCGAATGACTATTTATTGTTCCTGCCTTGGAAATAAATACATGGAAATTAAGCAGAAAGGTGTGGTGTGCATTTAATTAGAGACAGGAAATGTGTCAAATGGTTGGGGTGATGGGGGGTGGGGGAGGGAAAGGGGAGCCGGGGCTCCTGGATCCTCTTCCCAGAGCACCAGGCTGGGAATGTGCCGTGGGAGTGGGGACTCCTGGGTCCTATTTCTGGTTTGGTGATGGTGCGCTGTCGGGAGGATGGCAATTCCTGTGGCATGAGCCACCCTCGATAAGTATCTGGTGTATCTGGAAAGCCCTCGGAGCTGGTAGGAACAGCTCAGCCTGTGCCAGGGCGGTCGGCACCCCCTCGGGGAATCAGCACCGACCCGTGCGGACACGGGCACCGTGTGGGTGGGAACATGGAGAAATGCATTTGTCCTCGCCGGGGTGGCCACCGCGTGCAGGAATGGTGGCTCCAGGGTACCTGTCATGGCGGTCACCAAAGACCCCCAAAGCTGGGGCTCGCTGTCCCCGCTCTACGAAGGGTCTCACGGAGCAGAGCTTGTCCGTGAGAAGCCAAACTGCTCCCGACCCTTCTGACCTGGAGCTAGCGGCCACCCGGGGAGAGACCAACCTCATGGGGGCGACGAAAATGGCTGGGAAGTGTCTTGCGATGGGTTTGGATGGTACGTGGCTGCTCCGAGAGCGCGCACACGCCCTGGATGCCTTGTAAAAATAAGGGCCTGGATGTGGTTGTGACATCTGCCAGGCACAGGGGAGTAATGAAAGCCCATGATTCAGAGCTGAGCTGTTTGCCCGCAGGGTCGGGGAGGGATTCCCACCCTCCTGGGATGTTGCATCAACGACAACCGGAGCATCTCGGCCGAGAATGGGTTTGCTTCCTCCCAACCGAGATTAGGAAGAAGCCAGTGGAGCACTGGGATGACACACGGCTTATTTTTTTTTTTTTTCCGGGATGGGAGTCCTGAAAGTCCTCCGAGCAGGTTGCTGCCGCCTGTAATAGGTGACCTCCTACTTTGCATCCCTAAATATGCACGTCCCAATAACACCCATATCTAATCTTGGCATCAAATCGCTGCGCCATTGCTCTGGTAGACGTACAGGGGTACAATTTGTTGGGACAATTAATTGCAGATGTGACTTTACAAGCACGCTACAAGCTGAGAAGAGCCTTATCTGTCCCAGTGCATCTAGAGAGGGCTGAGAGCTGGATCGGGCCCTGCTCGGAGCCGGAGCCCATGCTTCCAGGACTCCCCCCGCCCCGAGTCCCACGCCAACCCCTTGCACCCTTGAGGACGAGTGATTTTGGTTCAAATAAACGATGCCCTCCACCTTGCTGGGCACCTCCTGTGCCACGCCGGACCCCATCGGCCGGCCTTGCCGGTGACGGGTGCACGGGGAAGTTTGGAAAAGGTTGGGCAGCAGGGATGCGCCCGCGGGACAGAGGAGCCGGCCTTTCGGGTTGCAAACCCTGCGACCGGGCTGGAGTCGCGCCGTGTCCGGTAAAGCACTGCCACTGGGCGCCCACCATCCCCCTTCCAGATGGTGGGGTCCTTTGGGGTGGTCCCTAAACGCCTGCCGTCACCCCGTGGCCACAGCGGGGGGGGGGGCGGACC